CTGAACCCAAGAATAACTGTTTCTTCACCCCTACAAGGTTACTGAATTTGTGCAATGTTCACTATTACACAAAGGCTCTTCAGTGTTAACATCTTGAACCAGCTCCTGTACACCACTGAAGGCTTAGTAAAGAGCTGCTTAATCTCACGTGGGTTTTGTCATCAGTTACTCCAAGCAGCGACCACTTCTTTACCTCTGAAGAGGTAGGTTCTGTATCACATCTCATCGTGACATTTAGCTTATCCATACGAGAACAACAGAAGCACCCAAATACTGTTATTTTTCTCCTGCTCTCAGGACACGGCCAATATCTTGCTCAGAGAGCTGATAGTCTAAACTGAACTTTATACTTTCCCTTCTATTAGGGTGAACCAATCCATAGGAATAGGTCATTATAGACCCATAATTCGTTATTACAAATGAATGCTTGAGGATATAGCTAATTTATTTACTTTCATACAATGTATTCTCTGTCTTTGATGACCCGTCCCCCCATTATGACAACATACTCAAAGACTTTTTGCACCTGCACAGAAAAATACCACTGACATACAATATATACATAAACTTAAATATCTGAAAATCCAAGGTTCTCCTTGGAAAAATGATGTTCAAGTCATTTAACTGTCCCCAGAATTCAAGTATACCTTCAAATCCTTCCAAGTTTTACTAGTTCTCTCTTCACTGAATCCTAACTCCTTTTTTGCAGAAGCTAACTCAAATTTAAGCTCTTCTTGACGAGATGCCATCTTTACAATTACACTCTCCTCATTCTGTGAAGTATTTGTAGCCTTTCTCTCTCCCTGCATTGCGTTCAAAGGGAAAAATAATCTCCATGTGAGCAGTTTCCACATTAGTATAGACTATATATTTTCCATATATTTTCAAATTTCCAAATTGTGTCTACAGTAACTATGATTTTGAAGTTACAGATACACCTCTCACACTATTTAAATATTTTACAAAGCAATCGGTATAAACGATGCTGTTGAATTCACATGCTAGCATAACATGTTAAGCTTGTAAAAGTAATCATTACTAAGCTCAGATCAAGCAACTGTACTCCTGTTCTGACAGGAAGAAGACATATTGCTATACGCAATTTCCACCAGAAAGCAGAAACTCAGGAAGGTTAGTTATCAGCTACTACCAAGTTGCTATCACCACTTGAAGGAGACCTATAGAGACAGATAAGAACCACAGTCCTTAAATATGGTACATAATGATTGTTATGTCCCTATTTAAAGGGAATAAACAACTGCCATTACCAAATAACCTATGTGCACAGGCAACACTGTCTAGTATAGCACTAAATTGGAAGTCCGTCAGCCTGAGCTCTGATCCTTTATGTCTTTATACATTCAATGATCATATCTATCTATCATTCTGCACACACAATTCAATGTTATTCCCACCTCTTCTTTCGTAAGCTTTCTGAGACAGAAACGCCGAGGTTAAGAGTACCACCTAGGCAAGTGTCATTGATTCTGTCTCGAACTTTTAAGCAAATAAAAATACACAAAACGGTAACAACCACACATTTTGCTTAGTAGCACTTTTCATGCCTGCTTAGTAATTATCCTGTGTTTGTTTTCTAAGTGAAATCACTGGTCTTTTGTGTACATAAAGAAAAAAATGTGTGTTTAAAGGAGAAACAGCATTCAAGTGCAATTTAAATAAGATATATTCTAAATACACGAGCATAGCTTGGTGATAACAGAAAAAAGCTTAATTAAAAACCCACTGTTATTATCAAGTAGATTTTAATATGAGGAATTGCATCCTGTTGTGATGGCTGGCCTATGAAGTGAAATGGCAAAGTAACACGTAACGTTCTGCGATATCACTACATCTCTATTAAGTAAGCTTTTACAATTAGCGATAGCAATATTAAAGGTCATTTATTTTGTCCAACTTGGAAATCCAATAATCCTACTGAAATTATTGGATTCCAGTAGAATTCAATATTCTGCCAGAATAGAAATTTCTATTGTTAGGTGCTAAAAAGCCATTTTTCTGTCCCCTTGGCTAGGCAAGAGCAGTACAATACAAACCATCAACCTTGGATTTTTATGCCCATATCATATTGCCCAGCAAGAACCCCGAAATTCACAGAAGACTGCCACCTAACTTTCTTCTTTCCTATGCACTCAGGAACTCTTCTGATATTAAACGCTCTTACTGACAGTTATCACATCTGTAAGTAAGCCTTATCATACAGTAAGTCAGTACATAACAGATGCCTCTAACTCTCTGAAATAGAAGTCTTCGGGGTCCTACTGCTTTCCAGATTTGAGCAATTTCATGAAAGTTCACATTAAATTCTTCAAAGCAAATGGTTCTAGAAAGATTCAGAATAAACAAAGGTTTCTCCAAAAAATTGATACAGGGTAAAGTATTTTCAAGTAGTTTCCCAAGACAGCCATAAAGCACGGTGAACACAGATCTAGTATCTCAAGATCCACGCCTGAAACCATATCCAGATCAAAAAAATCTAAGAGAAGTTTCTTGATTGAATTAAGTTTCCATGTGTGCTTCCCCTGTTCTTAATCTTTCCAGGCATCTACCACTGGCCGCTATTGGAGAAAGGACGCAGAGACAGAAAGACCTTTAATCTGACTCACAAAAGCCATTTTTATACCATGGTATTCATCTTCACCCTTTCTTAAAATCTGTAATAGCACAGGCCATCTAACAAGCATTTTCATTTCTGCCATTACAACACTGAAAAGAAGAGACTACAGGGCTTTACGTGACACAAAACTGACCCCCCCCCCTTTTTTTTTTTTTTTTTAAAAGAATAACATTATTAGAAAAAACTAACTACATACCAATTTATCACTTGGGGAAATCAGAACTCCAAATGACTGATCAACAGTTGTTCCCAGTACTTCCAGTTTCTCCATTCCTTTAAGATCTTCACCTTTTATTTCTGCTTTGGAGACCAGCTTGGGAAGGTTTGTCTCTTCATAACCACGTTGCTCCTTTGGCTTGCGGGACTCCAACTGTGAAATAAGTTCATCTCTTTCCAGTCGTAAGGTTTCAAGCTCTTTCACACGCTCCTCAATTTGATCTTTCAGTTTGGAAGTGCAACCCTGCAGTTCATCAATTTCTCTCTGATAAGCTACTTCTTTTTGATTCAGTGTTTGCACCTGGAAATCAAGTCTAGAAACTTCTGACTGAAGATTATGAACCTCTTGAGCCCGATCTGTGTCTTTCTTTTCCAACTCAGTTTCAAGCACTGCTACCTTTTCCATTAAGCACTGCAATTTGTTTGTGTCGGCTACTCTTTGATCTGCCATTGTCTTCATCTGCGTATCTTTCTCTAGAAGATTTGCTTCCCTCTCTCTCACAGTATCTTCAAGTTCTTGAATCCGAGAAGAAATCATGCTTGCTTCAACCTCCCTCTGAGAAAAATGTGTTTGGAAGAGGTGGTACTCTTTTTGAAGTGCATCGTACTCTACCCTTAGGGAGGCTAGCTCTGCAAAGTGCTGCTTTGATGACTCTTGTACTTTTTGTAAGTTTTGCTCTAAAATTTCCACTTCCATTTTGAACTGCAATTCCTTCTCTTCCAGTTGGTGCTGCAGAGCTTCTCTAGCAGTTGACACAAGCTCTAGTTCTTCCTGAAGTTCTCTCACATTGGAGAGTAGCAATATGTTTTTTCTGTTTGGATCAGTATCACCCTGACAATCTATCAATCCCTTTTTCAGCTCATTCTGAAGGTTTTCTACTGGTTCTTCCAAGCCAAGCTGATAAAGATTATCATGGCTGTCACTAACTTCATGACATACTGGTCCAAACTGCGCCAGCTCTTTTTGAAGCTTCTCAATTACTCCATGAAGTTGTTCTACCTCTTCATCTTTGTCCTTACGCAGCCTTTCCTGGTCACCACGAAGGTGCTCAACAAGAGATTGGAGTTCTTCAATTTCAGATTTTCGGTCTTCCACAGCCTGAGCAAAAGGATAAAGAACTGAGTACTAATATATGCAGGCAAAACTACTATTGCTGGTGTAAGAGTTAAAATTACTAGAAGGATCATGTTTTTCTGAATCACTTAGGCACTAAATCAAATATTTAGCTGCAAGAAGAATTGCAGACTTTAGCTGGGTACCTACTCAGAATATTCTTTACTGTCCTAGGAGAAATATCTAACAGATGCCACTTGCAATATGATTCTGTATATTCTTCCCTCTGCCCCAAAATTAAGCAATGACCATCTAGTAAGTACTCTTACCTTACTGTCCACAGCGTTCTCTAGCTCACACTGGAGTCTCTTCACCTGCTCATTTAAATGATCGATTTCTTGATTCTTTTCCTTAAGCAGTGCTTGTGGGAACGATAAAGCTGAGCAATCACTATTACCTCGGTCCTGATTTTGCTTCAGGTGAAGCTTTGTTAGATCCTCCTGAACAAAAAGACATCAATTTGATTTCAAAGGACTTTCATTTTCTTCCAATACAATGGCAGGACAGAACTAAGGGCTTTATTTAAACATTCTTCTCCTTACTATAACTATTAAAACTATGATAGCTACTTCATTTGGGTTTATACCACTTGATTAACTTGCCACAATAGTTCTCAATTTTCAAGGTAAGAGATAAACACTAGTTGCCAGACTACCTGCCAACCACTTTTATTACTTTTAACATTTACTATGGCTGTAGAAGTCAGAAATGCAGGCAAGACTGCAGAAGTATTTACTGAACACCACCACTGCAGTTTGTAATCAAAGAATCACTGAAGTTGCTGTGAACAGATGAGCTCTAAGAATGACCATCAAACACACTACTTCGAATAATATTTTACAAACATAAAATAGGATTCTCCTATGTCCTCTGCACATACAAAATTCATTCACGTACAAGAAAACCTTCCCCTAGGCCCCACCTTCTCCAAATGGACCCAGTCCCTTCACTTTTCTGGACGTGCAAGGACCCAGTCTTTATAGCAGCAATAATGGAATGGACCGCTCCGTCATCCTCTGACTGCACTCATGGCTGCAGTAGCAAGCACGGAGGCATGCATTACACTGTATGGGAACTGAAATGCTATAGATCTGCTCATCATAACGCTACTGATTTGTCGTCGTCATCACATATTGTCTTTACACTTCAGAACTGTAAACTTTACATATCAGCATTTGCATTTGTCTGGAAAAGTGTCCTGGACATGGCCTACCACTAGAAATCAATTATTCAGTGATGCAACCTATAAAAGGCATATCACAGTTTTCCTCATGGCTTTTAGAGAGTCCTCCTTTCTAAGGATGTATTACTTCACCTTCCCCCACAGTGAAGAAAAGTGTAGTTGTGCCAATAAGTCTCATGCAACTGATTTTTTGTGATAAAAAGCCATCGAGTAAATGACCTATCCCATTAAAGGACAAATGACTACCGTTTAAGTAGCAGCAGCTACTGCGTAATTCATAGTATCAAACAGAAACTCAGCATCGTTTTCATGTTCCAGTCAAAGAGAGCCCCCTGGGAAGAGCAGCTAGAACCTCATCACGCTCTCTCCCCTGGCAATACTGGCATTTGCAGCAGCAAAGCCTTTTTCCTGCCATGTATCAGGGTTTTGGAAGGGTCAGGGGCACAAGAGGAAGAAGAGAGCGCGACACCATGCTGCAGCACAGCCTTTATTAGTGCCTCTTAGACTGAGGGAATTGAAGCAAATATCCCATCCAAACAGTGCCCAGAGCAATTCACGTGCAGGAAAACACTTATCACAGTATTTTCAGACTGTCCACCCATACAAACAGCATTGCATGCAAACAACATTGCATCTGTTATTTTCCGGTCACATTCAACTCCTATTTTGTTTTATCCATTTCAACTCACACGATTAGAAAAAAAAAAAAAAGCTAAGTCGCCAATTTAAGTCAGATGACTGTAGAAGACAGTGCCATAAGCATGAATCTAGAGTATCAGGTTTTTTTGTTCTAGGATATCTAGCGTTAGCATTTGTAACAGCAATGCAATATTCCCTTGACAACAGAAACAAACCAAATACGCATTTATAACATTATGAGATAAAGACCATGTTGCTCAAGGGGAAAAAAAGGATTTCTGGAGGTTTAGCTGGAGCACACTAAAGCTAAGGAAACCTACCTTCAGGTGTGCGTTCTCTAACTGAAGCTGGCTGATGCTGGAAGTGCTAAGATTTTTTTGCATCTCTAACTGCAAGTTCAGCTGCAAAATCTCCTCATTTTTACTGATCAAATTATCTTTACATTGCTCTAGTTGATCTAATAAGCTTGCAATCTAAAACAAAGAAAATGCCAAGTTGTTTTAATTAAGTCCCGTCATTTAAGCAGAAAATATAAAATGTAATTCACCACCTTAATTACTGAAAATGACTAAAGCAAATTCCATGGCTTAAACTTTCTCTAATCAGTTTACATTAATAAAATATTTCAGATACTTAAAAAAAAAAAAAAAAAAAGAAGAAGAAGCCAGAGCACTAGCTCCTCATCTGGGAACCAAAACTTCCCGATTTTGGTTGAGGGCTTGGGTCCCCTCTTGCCCCTTCTAAGACGTCCTGAACAATCAAGGCCTGAGCGCAGATGTAGTTTGGGACAACAATTTGAGACACGTTAACAACATCTAATGTCTAATGTAATCCTAGGCAGCTCACGTTATCACCATTCTCTTTCTAGAGGAAAGAAGTTAGCACTGCAGCGCTAATCCCAGTACACAGTAACCGCAAGAGTTATAACCATTGACTCATTCAAACTGTAAAATGAAGATTCAATAATTACATATTTCTCTGCTTGCAGCCATTCCAAAGCTTCACAGCAAAGAATGACTTGGAAGCACCGCCATGTGGCCACCCACAGCCTGTATCAACTCTTGTCTTGACAAGTAGCTAGACTCATCATAGGGGCTCAGAGGGGCTTTAAGAAAGAAAAAAGGCTAGTGATTCCCAAAGTAAGACTATATAAGAGGCAAAGAACTTTGATCTATAGGAAATTATAGTTTTTACTAGCTTATTGCTCTTGAAGCAACGGTGTACAATTATCTGGAGGATCATCCAGGCTTTTTTTTCTTTTCTTTTTTTTTTTTTCTTTGCACACCCCAAACTGAACTCTAGGTTTGTATATTACAGATATCATAATATTTATATAACATTACATAAACACACAGTGTGTGTGTGCATGTATCTGAGTATCTGTGCGCATGCACCCAAGAAAAGCTCTAAATCCTGTGACTGATTATACTGAACTTCAGCTGAGCTTGGTAGAACTCGCAGCTAAAATTCTCCAGCTCACAAAATGCAGAAGGTCAGGTAGCACCATTTAGGTTCATTATCGTCCCTGCTATTCTTAAAAGTATCTCTTATTTTCAGTGAGATAAAAATAGAGCCAAGTTCCACTTCACTTCAACTTCAGGAGGAAAGAAAAAACAGTTTACAACAGAAACTGGTATGTCAGTCTCTTATGGTTGATGTGAATCATCGTAAGATAATTGGTGGTGGGGAGGTTAGTTAAGATCAAGAGCAGGAAAAATACTGCGTAAGGAGGCACGTTTACTCATTTATTGTAAGAACATCGGCCATTTGATTTTTGAATGGCTTAAATTCTCAGCTGGTGCACAACATGTTTCTTCAACTTATGTGACTGATGTTAACATCTACAGGGATCTACTAAAATTTTAAACAGATTACCTCTCTCTCTTTCATCACAAGCGCTTCCTGTTCTGCCTGTAATTGTTCCTTCAGCACTTGATCAGAACTGCCTTCGGTAGGTACTCTGTGCCTTGCTTCATCCAATTTAGACTGCAGGGCAGAGATCTGAATCAGGTTATTGTACTGTTGCTGTTGCAATGCTTCTTTATCCTGAAAAATATGTTTTTGTACTAGAATTAATTATCAGTGTACATACCCATCTAAAGATAACAGTCCTGCCCAAAACAATTCATCCTGAAAGAAAATCCCGGTACGGTAAGAAAAGTACATAGTTCCAATGATCCATAAAAACATATGAATACAAAATAACTGAATGTTTTTGTCTCTGGCTTACAAATTTTTACTCCTGTTTTTTTTCCTAACTCCAGCTGAACTTCTGAAAATTTAGCATTAAACTAAATAGTAAACTACACTTCCTCAATCATATAGTGTTTTATCTGTTTGTTTACTACCCTAAACACCTCGTCCTTGTGCCCACTTCCTTATTTATTATGGTACCACATATTTCTTAAGCAAAAACAGCTTTAACTTAAGCGGTAGAGAACTTAAGCGGTAGAGAACTTAAGCCAAGCTATGGGAAAACCAAAAATCTACTACAAAACGTAACACGTTAGGTCAGAACGTGAAACCAACACTAAGTTTCTGCCAGATCTCTCATCTGTCGAGTTACTGCAGGTTTGGTTTTTTGTTTTTTTTTTTTTGGTTGATGTAACCTCTCCTTTGAGCTGGCTCAATCCAAGGCGGCAATCTTCACTCTGGAAGTCGTTCCAAACAGTGGGCATACGTATCTATACTTAATACAATACCAGGAAAGCTGAACAGGAAACCTAAGGAAGTAACTGCCTTCGTTGTTCAACACTTACTCTGCCCGTAGCCCTGTACACACCACTCTAATAGAAGGGTTAATTTAGATTCATGATGCGATTTGGCCAAAATTACTGTTCTCTAATCAAACAGAATCAAGACTCAGAACACATGGAAAGCATCCTCTGATCTTAAAATGAAGTGAAGTATCAACACCTGCCCCCAATCTAATGTTATACTGCAACAACAAAACAGCACGCCCAAGAACAGGTTTTTAAAAACAGGTGCCCAACTTGTAGCTACTAAACAGGCTGTGATTTCCATCCACTACTCCCCAGCCAGCCTTCACTGGCCTTCTGATCAGCTATGGGGAGTAGTCCAGGCACACACACAAAGCACACAAAAGAGGAAAGAGGAAGCTACGCGGACAAGTTACAGCCAGTTCAGATAGAAAGCCGTCATTCGCACCCAATATCACTGGCAGGATGGAAGAGAAATACCGTCCTGAAAGTACCACCGGAATTTGTATGGTAGGGAGGCACCTCCCACAACTTTTTTTTTTTTTGTTCGTTCTCAAGGGAAGACAAAATCTTTTCTTGCCATCACACAAACCCTATCATACTAACCAGCCCCGGGGTGTCCTACTGACACGCGTGCAAGGACACACGCCAACAAAACCCAAGCAACAGCAACGCCCATTTTTTGTTTCTGTGTCAAACCAAAAGCAAGAAGTTATCCGCACCATTTCGAAGTTCAGCTTGATTTCTGACAAAAATGCCCCCAGTGACAAGGTGCAAGTCCTGACTGCTGCAGAATTGGCCTGCTTTTCTTCAGATACCCCTGCATTTAGTGGATGAAGGCACAGGCGCGCCTGAGCTCATGGTGTAAGCACAGTTCTGCACGTAAGAGTGAAGTTCAACATTCTGTCGTCGCCACAGTGATCCAGCACAAACAAGCTGACAACCCATGCAAAAATAGAGGCTTTATGAAACGCACCTTCAGTCTAAAACCTACTTCTGGATGCCCATATGAACGCAGTCCCACACGGTATCTTCTTTTCCTTATTCCAAAAGGCATAGGACAGCACACTCCCTAAGTGAGCCTGCTAATGAAGACCTCAAAACCAAGGGGAGAGCAATTAGCCCAAGAGGGCCAGCCCTTCCCAGCACAAATGTAAGCAAAAGCGTCAATTTTACATTTCAACAACCTGAACAAATTAAAGGAAGCAGACCAGGACAGAACAACAAATACCTGCTCCCTGCTCTTGACAGTGGGATAAATGGATCTGGTACCTGTGGGTTTAGTCAGCACTCTTCACAAAAAAGATACTGTCCCATGTTTAAAATTATTCTTTCTGCAGTAGTAACACGAAACACTAATATCTTGGGAGTACGGTGAACAGAGCTGGCTCCCAAGACATATAGCAAGAACTATACTGATTCAGATGGTATGATTTTGACATAGCTATTGATCGAAAGCCCACCATATCTAACATTCAGTAATAATATCTTCTTAGGAACTCCTGGAGAAGCAAAAGAGCAGCTCTGATCCATGCAAACACGACAACTGTCAAAAAGGAGTCTACACAGGAGTAGTTTCATAGTTCTCAAAACCAGTGTTTGTTTAAAACTGTGCCTGCAATACCTGCTATTAATACAACAGCTTAACTCGCCACTAGTGCAAAGCACAGCCTCAAAGAATATTGTAACACAGTCACTGAATTCCCACATGAAAACACTGTCTGCGTAATTCCTTCTCCCAGGTAAACAGGTATTTAAAAATTACTTGTTTTAATTCTGTTTCCACTTTCTTCATTTTTTGTAGTTGTTGCTCCAAGTAGTTCACAGTCTTTGAGACTTCAGTGCCGCTGTGCTCCAGGTCTCGTATCTGTGCCACCAGTTTCTCTATTTCTTTATCACGAGCTGTAATTTCCTGATGTTTTTGCTCCTTTTCTAATAACAGCTTACTGTAATCATCCATCTTCTCTTTTATTTCTGCTTGCAAAGATTCTACCTATACAGAAATCACATCATACAGATATTCAGGCAATATAACATAAATTTCCAATTGGAAGGAAGAGTAATTTCACAGCTAAGCAGGCAGAATTTTACTATGGAAAGAACTAGTGAGAAATTTCCAGATGAAAGTAAAGGCAGAAGTGGAGAGAAAGGATGAAAAAGTAACTTTCTGAAATGCTGTTTTCCTATAGCAGCTCTACATGTGAATATTAAGTGAGAATAATCAAATGTACAATATTCCACCAAAATACTAGATACTTTCAAGGCTCAAGGGTCAAACTTTGCCTTTTAATTTTTAATTAAAAACAACCCAAGATTACATGAATTACTATGAATAGCGTTAGATGTATTCCTGTAACTTCAGAATCCTTTTCTATTACTTTAGGGAGCTCCAAATCAAAAGAATCGAAAGAGAAATATGCAACTCAACACAACCAATGCCTAAAATATAAAGACTTGCTGTAGTCAACACAATAGACGTGATTTTTTAAAGTGATACTTAAATGGGAAAAGGATGACAACTTTGCCTTTGAGCTCAGTGAGATCCAATCACGCACAGAGCTGCAGGAAAACCGCCGCTCGTTCATCCTACTAAGGAACGTGAAAGCAAGGCTAGGAGCTTTGCTAGGTGACAGAGACAGGAGAGAACCTGACAAAAGAGACTACGTAGGAAGTGATTAAGTCATCAAGCAAACTGAAAACTAGATCGAATGCGAAAGCAATGGAACTCCTCCTAAAAAGAGAAGTTATTTAGTCAACACCAACAAGTAAGGAAGATGCAATTTTACAAAACAAATACTTTCTTTAGCAAGAGACTGAATTTATACAATTTCCACTTCAATATTATAAACTAAAACCACTTTGCATTAACATAGAACTTTATATCTTCAAACTATTGTACAGACATTACTAAAGCAGAAAACCACCCTCTAGGAAAACACAGAAGAATAGAATTAATTTAACCAAATTAATAGGCGCAGAGAATATCACAGACTAGTTAAAAATACCAAGTGATTAACATTACGTTTTCAACTGCTCACTGGCACAGACACATTTGCTTAATTATGTATACATCTTCTTCCTTTCTCATCTCCCCAGCAATTAAGCAAGCGTCAAGCATAACACAGGCCTGTTTTCTAGCCTTACAGAAAAGCTTTTAGGTATGAAAAATATTCTTTAAAAGTCTAATATGTTCTACACAGATGATCCTGCTGTAAGATCTGGTCATAACTCATCAGAATACCAGACTTTACAAGACTTTGCATATGAAATGCATATTTTTTGATGTCACATTGCTGTAGAGCCAGCGCTGTGATTCTGTCGATAAGAAAATGCTTTCACAACCTTCTCTCTCCTGGCAAATTCACAAATGGTAGTTCCAAGTAGCAGTCAGCACTCCTTTCACAAAATAATCCCACTCACTTATACTCCAAGTCTAGAGAACAGCACGGCGATCAAGTTTGAACCTCTTACAACGATTACATTCAGAAATTAGAAGTTCAGGTGAACCGCATCGTCTCGGCCATTCATAATGCCCAAGTTAAGCAATTACTCATGGAACTGCATTAAATAACTGCACAAGAACTCTCTACATCCCTACGTTCCATTTTGGCACAGACTGCAAACATGCCTCATCCTACCCACAAATGTCACTTGTTCAGTTAACTCTCTTGTCGCCTGTCTCCCTCTAAGGTCTAAAGTGTTCTGAGAGAGGTCACAAATAATCACGTGAACGAGCATTAAGTTTAACAGATCTCCCTCTTTCCTAATGTACATGCCTACTCAATAAATAAATAGCTTGAGAAACAATCCAGGCAACACCTTAGACAGAAAGCAAAGTATGGTCTTAACAGTCTGACATACTTCAAGCAACTTTTCCCAAATCTTACGCCTACAGAATCACAAATCTGTGATACAGAATCTTTGATGTATGTCAAAGACTGCCACAGAAGTATACCTTCTGGGAAGAGGTACAAACATTCCTTCAACAACAAGTCATATTGCCTTTGAGAAAGAAAAGGCTTAAAAAAGGAGAAACATCTGATCTTTGCCATAGTATAACGTGTAGGCTGTACCTGACGTACTTGGAAAATCTTAATGTCACATTATGATACTCATGCAAATGAGAAGCTGAGATAGATGTAGAAAGATATGTAATCACTCGACTTCTGCTAGGATTTCATTAGACTTCTGAAGTTAGAGAAGGCTGGTAACAATCGGCCTGCCAGCATGGAAAACCCACTCTGCCAAATATTCAGTTGTTCACAGGAGGTGTATTTCTAACATTGAGGTCCATAATTTCATAAACTGTACATAATTTCATTTGCATCTATTCTTTTAAGTAGTACAAACATTCAAGTTTTGTTAAGAGCAGTGCCACCAACAAAACTTGAAGGCTGAGGCACAGTGCCTCCTGGTTCCATGGACTTTATTTCATATTCTGAACCTCAATATTTCCTTTCATGTCAAAAAAAACGTTTTACAGTAAGTAAGCAAATGCATTTGAGCAAGAGGCCAGCAGAATGAAGTAATTATAGACAAGAGATCAAATTGGAAGGAGTTCCCCATCTCCTGCAAGAACTCTGCCACCCTGAAACATTTATCCTATCTCTAAGTCAAATTGAAGCAGATTTGACACATGAAGAACAGAAAGCAGCCAAAACAGGTCTAATTAAGCAGAAGAAATTGAAAGGAAAAGGAAAGAAGGGTTAAGGAGATATTCATGCTGTTTTCCATACCTGTAGAGTCAATTCATAGTTCTGTACAATGTTCATTTATGCAAAAAAAAAGCAAACAAACAAAAAAGTAAAAGTTAATCTTTGAAAGCCAGCATCAAATCAACAAGCACGTGAAAAAAGGACTAATTTATAATTTTAGATAGGACTTTACTGTAATACATAGCTCCCCATATAACATTTCCTTCCATCTCCACAAAAAGTAACGCAGGTAGACTCTAACTGCTTAGATGTAGTTCAGCCATTCATAAGGTGTGTGTAGCGGGGGGAACTCAGCTCTTGGGGTGATGACAAAGGAGGAGGAAGTCTCTCAATCCCCCAAGTGAATCCCCCAAGTAGATGCAGCTTTTGGCATTTAATTGTAGGAAATGGAAACTCCCGCAGTCACTAAATATGGCCTTACTCACCCCATGTTGTCTGGGCTCTCCAGAAGCCTGCGATTTTGCTGTAACCTTTAACTGTTCTTCCAACTTCTGAATTTCTTGCTGAAAATCATCACGTTCGTGCTCCCTTTCTACAGCTTGCTCCTGTCAACCCAGTCAGAGATAATGAAAATCTTTTATTAGAGAGTTAATATTTTATTAAAATATTAAATATAGTAAAACCCGCTTTTGCGGTGAGGAAACCATGATTAAAGTTAGCACTTCCTTTTCAGTGGCTAAAACTGCGGGGAAAGGAAACACTTTTTTAAATTGCTGATGATGGTTTATGTACGAAAAGGAAAAATTATCCCATAAGACTACAGAAAAGAAATGAAAAAAACATCAGTCTGTCCTGATTTTTTTTGTTGTTTAAATAAGTCTAATCTCCTACAAGACTAGAATATCAAGGTCTTAAGTTTACAGAAAGCAAAACGCACTTTGAGAGCCCATCTTTAAAGTCTAGATCACCAAACAGGATGGGTATTTACCACCTCCAAAACCATGTAAATGTGGTCTCAAGCTTGCTTACATCCATGAATTGCCGTTGATTCTTAAGCTGCTTTTCAAGGACTTGAATTTGTTGTTTTAGGTCAGCAACCTCCAGTAACTGCTTAGCCAGGTCTTCATTACTATGCAGCTGTTCTTCAAGTTCTACCTCCAAAACTTTCATTTGAGAGCGCAAGTTGGAATGATCTTTTTCGGCCTGACACTGAAGCTCTAATTTCTCCTTTGCTAAAAATTCCACTTCCTTAAGCAGACCTGAATAAGAAGAAAAAAATAAAAACAAGGTTGTCAGGCCAGGGTACACAAACCATATATTTTTTAAATGAGATTAGATTCAGGTAGTTTGGACAGTTGAACAACCAGATAAAACACCTTAGGAGATATTTTTAAGAGGAACAAAAGAAACTCAGGCATTTACATCTGAATGCATCTTTGAAAACTGTCTCTAAGACTATCAGATGTACAAAAGAAAAAGGTGGATGCAGCAGCAGCAGCAGAGAAGGGCATCTCGTCTCAGTCCCAAAGTGAACCCTGATTAGAGGTATCCAGGGCCAAGGTTCCACAATGAAACCTTTCACTGTCACCCCCACTGTCCTTACTCTTCCAGAAGCGCCTCATTTCACTTGACTGGGAGTCCTCCAACTTCCTCCAAAACATATGCTACATCCCTAACCTCCACATCCCTCTTTCAGCCACCCAAATCCCTCAAACTTATTTTTTGCCACATTTTTTTCCCCCAAAAGAAGGGTTTGTTTTTTTTTTTTAAATCATCTACCACAGTTTTTTTTAACACTTTTTTTCTACCACCCTTCCTGCCCCATCCTTCCCAACTCTGTTGCACATCCTTGCCATCCCTTCCATCCCAACTTCCCACCCTATCTCAAATCTTTTACCACCAAAGTCACAATACAGAATTATTAATTCCTCCAAATTGTCATGCCAAGCTCCTCCTCACCCGTCCAACTCTCAGTCGGAGGTCAATCTCTCCACTACTCCTCTACCTCTTGACCTGCTGGATATTGCTGCTGTTGTCCAAGCTGTGGAGTCAGCACCCACCCATCTTTTTGGTGGCCACCAGTGCCGAGCCCTATCCTGAAGCTGGCTGCTACAAGAAAGCAAAGTTATTCTTCCTCAGTCTCTGAGTGGGGACTAAAACCCAGAGAGAGATCACATTAAACAGAATCAGTCCAGTCCTGAGACTGCAAAGGAAAGAAACACCTGGGAAAAAGGTGACACACATTTGCCCTAAACCGACTACAAAAGAAATATCACAACCATGAAATTACACAAAGCTCAAAAGTATTTAAGTTATTAAGAGCTAACTGATACCTAAAAGCTGCATTTTCAACCAGCTGGATGCACTTTTTTAGGAGACTCAAAATAATCTAATGCGGAAACCCAAACAATCTCATATGAATGCTCTTGTAGAAAAACTATTTTAACATTTTAACCTGAACAGGAAAATAGAAGTCAAGCTATTCTTGACTTTAAAGAGAGGTGGTGCAAGAATTCATTATTTTACCTTTCAGATATTCCATTTTTCATCTTAAAAGGTTTTCAACCATGAGGGGGAAGGAAAGTCTATGATTCCAGTAAGGACCTTAATAAGTCGCCTAGCCCAGTCCCCAGGATGGAAGAATTGCCATCTCCAGGCACCAGCAACTCAGTCCACAGAATTTCTGACTTAACAGTTCTGTTCTAAATTGATGCTACAAACCTTCAAAAACGGAGCAATTCCATAACCTTCCTAGTACTTCATTATCCATAGTTCTTAATTTCTAGGCACTTTAAAATGAACAAACCAACAAAGGGGAGAGGAATAAGACATCCAGAAAACACAAGAAAAGACTGAACAATCCAGAGCTGTTTAAGCCAGGGTGAGAAATACTGAGGCAGGACGTAACAATACAACAGGGCTTCTCTCAAGGCAAAAGAGAAGCGAATATTTCCATGTTCACGCTTAAGAAGATATACGCCACAAGCTTAGAACGCAGCAATAATTTTCATATTAAACATTAGGAAAAATTCTCAACAGTGAGGATAATGAAGCACTGGAACAGACTGTACAGGAAAACTGAAGTCTTTTTCTCTGTAATTTCTTAAGAGGTTAGACAAAGAGGTCAAGTAGATCCTGTTCTAGGACACGGATGTGGACTAAACAAGCTCTTGAGGTCCCTACCAACCCTACGATGCCATGATTTAGCCACCCTAGCCTCGTACTTTGGCACCTATGCTTCCTCTGCATTAAGAGAGTATTAAAATGCACAAGGTAAAACTAAAGCGTTAATTGAGGTAAAAGTAAACTCAGGAGATATGGAAATACATCAGATTCTTTGATTGTTTTTCAGGTTTGCTACACACCCATGGAAGCTTTTGAAACCAAGTGAAATGAGTAACACTTCAAAGACAAAAGACTATTATCAGTCACTTGGGTTCTTGAAGACATGTAGTGTACACACACATTCCCAGCTCGAGTCAACTGGACATACTAGCTGAGAGGAAAGAAGTATTTTGTTTCACAGTCATGCTAAACACTGTGCTGAGAGCCCTGCTCTCCCTCACACTTGGGTGCACCGGCACCAGGCACACCCTGCTGTTTTTATTCCCTCTTAGCACAGAGATACAAATGGCAGACTCAACAGAGGGCCTTCAGGAACAACTGGAGAATATACACATAGACTATACATCTTAAAGAGCTCTGCTCCCAGTAAATAATTTCTGTCTTTGAGTGATAGTCCACATACACACTCCAACTGCATTTCCCTCCCCGCGCTAGTTTTGCTCACGATTACTAAGAGGGGCAGCTCTACGTAACAGCAGCAACCGTACAATTGCTGTACAAGGCTCCCTAATTTTTCTGAACGTGTTCATGAAGCATCAATGTTCACTAAGCAAACGTGCATCATATTGTGGACCTAACTTGAGCTAAAATCTCAGTAAAAGCGGCACAACAGAGGAGATCTTTCACTAAGTGCTGTGTTTCACCAGGCAAGAGATGGGAATAAAATAAAAAAGCACCAGCTGTACTCCACTGTCTTTGCTTATACACAGTGCACAGAGAAGAGCAAGGCATGCATATATTATGCACAGCTCTATGCAGGTCCACCCTCGGAATGCCTGTGTGGATTAGCCCTGGAGAAAACAACTGATGCTTTTGTGAAAACAAGCACGGGATTTTTTCCTTTCAAATACTGAGTAACACAGTACTTAGAGTCAATGACTTCTTTTTAGCTTTAAAAGCTGCAGTATTGCTTTCTGAGGAACAAAATATTGATTAGATAAAACTGAAATAAGCAGTCAGGGCCATCTCCTCAGCCAGAAAGGCAAGTTACGAGAGAGAATGTAATTAGGCTATAAAATTTTACATAGAATTTAAAATGCTTGCTTAATAGATTGCTAAAATTTAGTATCTGCTCTCTCAATAAATGCAATCAAGTTGAGCATTTTTTTCTCATACATGTTCCCCAAGTGTATAAATACAGTTTCAAGCAATGCGAATAGATCATCAGACCACAGATTCACATCTTAGTAGGGACAAACCTGCTATTTTATTAATGCAAATTCAAATCATGCAATTCCACTCCTCCACCTCCCCCATTAGCAAATGCCAAGCTACATTCTAAGTGCATTTTTATTAGCAAGGCCATTCATTCTACTCACATTAGTGCTGCATATCACCAACAAGGGAGGAAGGTGGCTTTTCAAGGAACAAGCCATGTCAACCAACTCCAAACAATATGATTCTTATTCATCATATTTTCCAACTACTACAAACAAGTCCAAACCAGAGGAAGAGTACTAGAGAAGACTGGGATGGGGAAGGGGGTGAGTTTTAGGGCTCAACACTTAAACACACTTGTTCAAGTTCTAATAAACTGTTAACGGGAACTGGATTGCAGCTCCATGGGGAAGGCCAAATCCCAAATACGTTGTAGCCAGATTAGATATTCTCTCTGAGAAGACAGCAGCAAAGTTCACGACAGAGCTGTGGTTGCCAAAAACATCGGAAATCTGCATAGTGTTTGAGGGAGATCTGAATAGACAGAAGGAAGATACAGTAGCTGGTAGCCCAGTGCAGTGTTAATTCTAACTGGAATGTAGGCAATGCTTCCTTATTCACCTGAGAGACTGGGTATACCCAGGTCACATCCTTTGAAAAAAGTTTAGAAATATAAGAAAACATGTGTACCCGATTGAATGCATGTCTGTATAGACAAAATTAATTTAAAAACTTACTAATAACAATGTATTTTGAGTAGCCCACAAAACCTGATTATAACAGCTATGAATTTATCAGACCACATGTTTACTTCTCACTTGAGTCTGGGGGAAAAAAAAGAAAAAAAGGGAAGGAAAAAAAAAAATCTTTTTCTATTTGGTATCTACAAGTTTTATTTCAGGAAGCGTAAAAACTGTCTCCTTGCTTGCTTGCTTTTCTGTTTCTTCTTTCCTTCCAGTATCTTGTGACCTTTCCTTCCCGTATCTTTCCATCCATAACTAGTTTTTATCGCTTTGTTCTCCCCTTCTTTTTTCTAATCTACCTATCCATTCTAATTACATTTCTCCAGGCTCCCTTACACTTCCTTCAGTTCTTCCCCTGTTTTTCCTAGCTCTCCATTTCACAGTCTCAATTTGTTTTAAATTTAATTTAACCATTCCAACAACCCATTATGAATCATCAGAAGCTCACAGCAAGCTTACAAGCCACTCTGTCCCCTCAAAAGAAAAATGAAGCTGACAAATATGAAGGTAACTGCATGAGGCACTTTAAGCCCAACAGCAGCAAAACTTCTTCCTTTAAATATTGATTAGTTACTTGAATAGACCTAGTTTTAATTGCTTTCTGACGGATCACAGACGTGGTGTCAATTTTTGCCAAGATATTCATAATCTCAGTAATTTCTTGGGCCTGTTTACGAAGTACTGTTCCTCTTTGTTAAAACATATTCAAAACCATCAGTTCATTCACTCAGTGTTACAGCAAAAACAACAACAAATAAACAGAAAAAACACTCATCATTACAAACCTGAACCTTCTTTTTGCGCTACATTAGCGATAGGAGTTCCTAGAAATCAAAGCATATAAACATGTACAAAACAAAAATAGGACATTTTGATCCATTTCACCTTACAAATCACTAGAAATTCATGCATAAAGGGACAGTGCCTACCTTTGGATTAGGCAAAAATGCACTTCATCTTAATTAGGACACAAAGCTCCTGATCATATATGTCAACCTATGTCTATAGCTACTATACAAATGCCTTTATATTATAACCATGTAAATTTGTTGCAAGATTTTTGGCTATTTACTTAGGCATCTTCTAAGACAAATCAACATTCTCTTTTAATCTGCAGTTTTCCCCAGAGTGAGATGGAACACTGAACGCCCAAAATGCCCTTTTAGTTCCCGGCCAGTGGGATTCAAAGAACTGGAACAGATCTCCAGTCTTTGTAACCTGTCATACATTTCCATGACACCCAGAAGTACTTGTGTACTACAACATCATAGAATTGTTTTATGTTTCCTTTGAGACTTATTACTCAATGCCATAATCACTGTTGTAAAGCAAGTGTAATGTGCATTTATTTTCAGTTACAGCCTCCTTAAAAGAATTCATGCTCTTCTGTCATTCCACATGAGAAAAAGTGTTTTCCCTTGGCTCCTCCTCCACTTTCTGTGGCAAAGATTGTAGATTCTGTAAGCCAGGACAATTTGTGTTACATCCCCACAGGTTATATTCCATTTCTCTATTAAATTTTCTCTTAAAGTAACAGTTAGCTTTTATTAAGATGTCATATGAGAGGTCAGAGCAATAGACACAGCTTCAGTGCTAACATATGTGCCCCATGACTATTTTGACTGCACTATATTTGAAAGGATTTGTGGAGAGTCAAAAAAAGGAAGAGCAGGGAAGAACAAGACAATGGGAGAGTCAAGAGTCAGAAAAGAGATGAAGAGCGGCAAGGAGAAGAGAACAAGAGACGATGAGATGGGAAAGAGACATGTGAAGCACACAAGAGTTGTAGAGGAGTGACACAGTAGGGCTGAAAGACAGGCAGAAGCCTGCAACAGAGTCTCCTGAAAAGAGGACAGGTAACTGCAACGTACGGAGTACACTCATATAGAATTTGAGTCCATAGTGTGAAGCCTATAGACTTGGCATTCCTCTATCACCAGCAACAGGGAAGTCCACTAAAAAACTATTTCCCACTGTCTTTACTTCTGGCCTATCCAGACACTACGTACAACTATCTTATGTAGTAGCCTCAAGCAGAAGAGATCTATGCAACACAGGTGAAGGTTCATCTTGACATTAGCAGAACTCTAACGTCAATAACCCCAAGCGATAACAATTCTACTGGAAGATGATACACAAATTCACTTAAGTATTAGGCATGGCATGGCATAGTGTAAGCCACAGAACAATCTCTGAATTTTCTTCCGTGAATCAAAAGATACCCTATACATAAACAAGCTTATTACATTAAGATTCTTCGGTTTTTAGTAAATCACTGCAGTCATTGTTAAAAATGCGCACTCCTTATTTGTAATGTACATTGCACAGTTCCATCTTCTAGTTGTTGAGTGCTATCAGAACTTCATCCAGCATATGCTGAAGAGCTTCCCCTTATCCAATTCCTAGACAAGCTCTCCATAGTTATAAATAGCTGAAGTCTTACCACATACTGCATGTGTGGGAGACAGGGGTTGAGTTATGCAGATAACTTAATACTGCTATGTCTTATCTTCTGAGTTTGACTTGGCAGTTCAGTGGCTGTCTTTTCGTCTTTGGCTTGTAGTGAAGCACTTTTAATATTAAATGTTTAAGATACCTCCTCACCTTACTCCCTCCAATGAAGCTACCTCAAATTTTGCAATCCATGCTCTTTCCTTTGAAAACATTAACGGACTTTCAGCTTCATGATTAAAGACTTCCCACGATCACCCTTCTCAGTCATGTGTCTGTCTGTTTTGAAAGACAAGGCTGGGGAGCAGGGGAAAAGTTCATTCACAGTACGAGGCTCCAAATACATCATCGCTTCAATTTTTCCTTAACCCAAAATACACTAGGAAATCTGCTTATTCCTTCGAACAGTATCAAACTAACTCCTTAATACTGAAAGCAGTCAAGAACCTTGCAGCTCCAACTCATCTCTCTTCTGACTGCACTGTGTTAATTAATCAGCATTCCAGTTACTAACTAGTTAATTATCTGTTGCAACCAACTTCCTTTAGTTTCCTTTAATTTAGTTCCTAATTCATCCCTCTTATTTTCTCAGACACTGTCCATTTCTAACTAAACAGAAGACTGCAGTAGTACTCTTCACTAGCAATATTATCCTCCAAGAAGTGAAGAACCAGCTGCTTTATGTTATTTTCTGCTTTTATCAGAAGGTCATGTTCACCTCTGTCCCAGGCTGAGCTACTCACTAAGCCATCAATCCAAAGAGTGGAATGTTAATAGAAACACATCGCAGTAACCTGACTGGAGGACAATCTCCTTTTTGCTAATTTTCATACCCACTCCTCACCAAGAATTGCCTGTTCCTGGGTTAGTTCCTGGAAGCGCTCGCGCATATTCTCCAGTTCCACAACAAGGCGACGTTCAGATTCTTCTTTCAGATTCAAGGCCTCTTCCAGTGCAGCTTTTTCTGCAACATAGCCTTCAATAATGCCTAAAATGCCAAGTCAGAATGCAAATAAAATAGCAGACAAACTCATCATTGGAAAAAATGACTTGAAAACATGGAGTAGATGACTTAATGCAAACAACGGAAAATGACACAGAAAGTGTAAAATGACTTAAATTTATATTGTAGCTAAACTTTTTGAAATGTCCTAAGAAATAAGAGTACCAGTTATGTATTCTGATAGATTTTTATGAGGCTGCTACATCACAAAGTACCTTAAAACATGTGGGAATGTATATGAGGGCTTGTTCAGCCTTAAGGGCCTGAGACCGTCTCAGAACATAGGACAGCCTCATACATCCCCTGCTGGGGGCCGTGGTTTGAAGAAATGGATTCTCCAGGGGAAGGGGGAGGAAGAAAAAAAAAAAAAAAAAAAGAGCAGATGTTAAATTCAGAGACCAATAAATCCAGGAATGGCTCACAGAAAGAAGGAAGGAAATAGGATTTTGGAGAGACCAAGTCAGCCTAATGGAATATGACTGAGAAGAGAGATGGAAAGCAGATGCCATGATTTGTGAGAGAAGCTTAACCTGAAGGACTTAAACCCCAGAATGTGGAAACCCTCAAAGATCCCCCTACATGCAGGCAAAGAATACAGGCCAAAGCAGTGTACCTAAAGTTTTAATCCTCACAAGGGAGAGCTAGACTGATGATATGCAGTCCACGACAGTGTTGTTGTCCTACAACCAGGATCATTTTCTGATAAAGCGTTGAATACCCACAAACCAAATTCACAGTCCCCAAACAGGAGGTCAGCATCAGATTAGAGGAATTGCATCAGCACTATGGCAACGTAACATTACCGACAACTCTGAACATCTTTATGCCTGTCTGAACATGCATTCATCAGAACAAGAGACTGCTCAGCTCTCAGTACAAGCATCGCTGTGGAGATGTAGTTATTTTATTGCAAGCTACAGTAACAGCTAGAGCAATAACCCAGCTACACCTTTCCTGAATATCAGAGGTACATGGACTAGATCTTTTAAAATAATGCCATTTTAACAAAAAAGCCAAATTTAGCTTTGCATGAACAAATTGTTAACACACATTTTCAGAAATTTAGCTAAGGATAAAGGAGTAGAGCATTTCAAAGGAATACCACAGCCACTCAATAATTATTACAGAGAAGAAAAGAACGTCTATTGATGAGATTATCTTATTCCTTTTTGGCAGGGTTTTGCTATAAAAGGTATTTTTCATTTTTACTGCTTGGTTTTGGCACATGTTTCATTAGTGTTGCTTAATTTGCAATTTATCTTCATGAATTGCATTTATTATAAAGCTCTAGGTATTAGAAATAAATTTTATACTATTCAGTCTAAACACTTTTCCTAATTTAAGTAATGATTTTAAGACCTAATTCCTAACCTTTTGTCTCTTTCCATTTTTAGTATCTTGCATATAATCATTCCCCCTTTTCCCAAAAGCTGCTTCCTTTCACTTCTCAAAGACAGCATGCATTATTCAGTTCTCTTCAAGTCAAAAAGAAGTCCTGCTACATGCCACAGTTTTCGTTAGGTGTAAATAATTAATATCTCAAGCGACTTGAATATACGACAGAAAGTTTTTTTTTTTAAAAAAAGAATGTCTAAACTAGCTATTTGTCAAAGAATGAAAAAATAGGCTTTTCATATAATCGCTGCATATTTTACATCTCTGTGGGTTGTATTTTCAAGTTCTCACAATGAATATAAACAATTTAGTACTCCTCCTGGAGCCAAATGCTACTGCACTGCATTCTGCTCTGGATCATTCTGCTTTTGTTTATAAGCCTGCTGCTACCCTTTCCCTTACCCACTCCTTGGGATTCCTTTCCACTAGAGGTTTTCAGAAACTACTCTTAACAAAAGCGTTTCTTGGCTAAGGCACACAATATGCAAGTAATTTTTCATCAGTTCCTGCTAATTTAAACCTTAGGTACATGATAGGCTAACATGACACATCACTTAGGTTTATCAGAATGGTGAAGATTGCATAGCATTCAACAGCCAACCACAAAATAGCTCTCTGATAATTAAAAGCCTCAGCCTTCCTGTCTCCTCTTATTGTCTCTTTATGCCGACACTACCATCAAGCATTCCTCTAGCTCATGTTGAACCCCTCCAGGGTCAGACAGGTGGGCTGATTTAAACTGGGAGTGTATTTTCTTTTCAATAAACCA